GAACACACTAAGGAGGTCTTCTGCAGGAGATTTGCCCAGTGCCATATGTCATTTGATTTTTCTCTTTTATTTAATACCTTTATTGGGGGCTCTTACATCTCTTATCATAATCCATACATTCTTCCAGTGTGTCAAGCACATTGGCACGTATGCTGCCATGGCCATCATCATTTTCAAAGCATTTCCTTTCTACTTGAGCACTTGGTACCAGCTCCTTATTTTCCCCCCTCCCTCCCCAACCCTCCTTCCTTCATGAACCCTTGATACGTTACAGCTTATTATTTTCATATCTTACATCTTCCTGTCACCCTTCACTCACTTTTCTGTTGTTCATCCCCCTGGGAGGGGGTTATAAATTGATCCTTGTGATCGATTCCACCCCTATCCCCCCACCTTCCCCTAATCCTCCTGGTATCTCTATTCTCATCATTGGCCCTGGGGGAGTTTATCTATTTCATAGACTATGGAATGAAAGATGGCCATTTTCACGATTCCGAAGTGTACAATACAATTCGGTGACACTAGATTCACCAGATTGTGTAATCATCTAAACAAACCTCATGGCTGTTGAGTCAATTCTGACTCACAGCAACCCTATAGGACAGAGTTGATCTGCCTTTGGGCTTTCCAAGGCTGTTCTCTTTATGGGAACAGCCTGCCCTATCTGTCTTCTGCAGAGTGACTGAGGGGTCAAAGCATCCACCTTTGAGTTAGCAGCTGAGTGCTTTAAGCACTGCACCAACAGGCTTCTTGTGCAACCGTCACCACCACGTAATTCAAGAACATTGTTGTCACCTCAAATGGAAATCCTGGACCTGTTACCAGTAACGTCCCCTTTCCTGGTAATCACTAAACGACTGTCTGACTATATGGAGCTGCCTGTTCATACTTTTAGTATAAATGGGAGCCCAGCTAGGGCATCACTTGATAGAAGGAAGGCAGCAGTCAGGTCCCACACTGTTGATGGCCATAGAGATTTGCTGCCCCTGAGGTCACCATGCAAACAATTTGGAGCCCATGTTTGCCCTTCTGTCTCTTGGGGAGGATTCCAGAGTGCACCAGGTGCTCGGGCACTCACAGACTGTTCTTGTGGGCCATCCCCATCGTCATTGGCCATGCGTCCCGTTGCCCCGTTGAGCCCGCCAAGCAGGGTGTGTGTGGGGAGAAGTGGCCATGGGAACGGTTTCCTTGAGTTAGACAGGCTGACTCTGGACCTTGTTACGTAACTTTTGTCCTCCATTATTGCTGAATCACAGGCCGCAGACCTGGAGGAGATGGTCCCCCAGACATGGACCCAACAAGCACTGCTCTGCCCCCACAGGTGAGCTGGGCAGCAGTGAGGGAGAATACTGAGTGCCCCCACCTTACTCTTAGTGACTCCTTTGGCCGATCCACCTGTCAGGAGCTCACTCATTTGTCGGAATTTTTTTTCTTTCCTACAAATACTCAATGAGCCCCTCACAAGGATGAGGAGAAGCAGCAGGCAGAGTGGCCAAAGGAGGGAGATGTCTCTCAGGCCTACTTCTCCACTTGCCCACAAGCCACTGTCAGCAGTTCAGAGGGTCTGGTCTACGTATGCAGCGCACACCGAAATGGAGCACACAGGGTGCTTGGTTCTGCACTTTTGAACCAAAGCAAGCCCCCTAGTGGCGGCACTCTTAAATATGCAAACTGCCCACCTGTGGAAAGGACGGACTTGGGAGCACAAGGTCTGACCTCCTCCAGCTACTCAGAGGAAAATCCTCTGCATCAGCTGCCTAAGGCAGATTCTTAGGAGGTGAAGGTCAGACCGGCCCCACCCTCCAGTCTCCCCACCCTTTCAGATACTAGCTTTTTGTCCCACAGCACTCTCTCGACTTTTTGGCTGCATTCCATTAGGGCACACTACTCTACCATGACCGTGAACCCTAAGGGGCTCAACTCTAGCACCTGGCTGGGGTCAACAAACTTGGATTCCCACAAGCCAGTCTCTTGCCTGAAGGCATTCAGCTCTAACATGCTCGGTGGGCTGGGAAGCTCACAGGCTGTCTGACTCTCAACTCAGTGTTTCTGCTGCCCCGCCTTTGCCACCCCTCTGGGGTCTGCGCTGCCTGCCCGCGGTATCCAGAAGGTTCAATATGCAGCAATTTAGAGTTGAAAGGGCAAGCTCCAGTCTTGGCTCTTCTCTAGTTGGTAGTGACTCCCCATTCCTGCTTCTGCGAGGGCTCATTTTATTTATGCCCTTCATTTGATAGGATGGCAATCACAAATCACCACGTCAAAAATTGTTCCCAACAGAATCCCACCAGTTTCTTCCACACATTCTCTTATCTAGACCACATCAGTCAAAGGTCATTTGGTGGGATAACAAAGATGCTGCTGCTGTTAGGCATGACTCTTGAGTTGGGAAACACGGCTCAGTCCTTTGCCATCTTCACGATGTTTTCTTGAACTGCAGCCCATTGTTGCAGCCACTCTGTTGATCCATCTTGAGGGCTGCCCTCCACTTTACCAAGTGTGAAGTCCTCCTCCAGGGACCGCTCTCTCCTGGTAACATGTCAGAAGCACATTGAGACGAACTTTCACTATCCTTGTTTTCAAGGAGCATTCTGGCTGTAGTACTTCCAAGACAGATGTTTGTTCTTTTGGCCGTCCATGACACTTTTAATATTCTTCCCCAACACCATAATTCAATGCACCAATTCTTCTTTGGCCTTCCTTATTCAATGTCCAAATTTCACATGCACACAAGGCATTTGAAAATAGAAAAGTGTTAACTCACTGCACTGCACTACCTCAAAGACTCAGGATGGGAAGGTCTTTCAGGACCTAGCTCCAGCTTCCAGACTCGTACCTTTAGCCCATGACTACTAGTTCCCACAGAAAGCCCGAGGGAGGTCGGTGGTAAACCTTGCACTTCCTATAATGGAGACATCTGGCATGCAAGCCACTACTCTGTCGGCAGAAGCTTTTGTATTGCTAGGATGCTGAACAAGTTTCAGCAGAGCTTCCAACCGAAAGGGACGAGAAAGGTTTGATGACCAACGTCTCAAAACCCTATGAATCCAACAGAAGTGTGTCTTCAGTCTGGAAGCCCTGCTCAAATCTGTCCACAGTGGGTGACCCTGCTAGCATCCAAAATACCGGGGGTATACCTTCCAGCACGACACCACGACCAAAGTGACCCCAGCACGAGAGCCAGGGTGTGCGTCGCTCGACTTCCCAAATGAAACACAATATGCCCAGTATATCTTAATCAACAGGAACATACTTCATATATGCATGTCCCACACTCTTTCAGCCTCTCCCAGGCAACGGTCCTGCTGGGGTCAACCCCAATTTAGCATGACCCTGTGACTTGGTAGCTTCCTAAGGTTTTGGGGAGAGAACCAACTCCAAAGATCCGTGTTGGTTTTAAGTTGAGATGGTGAACTTCAAGCAACACCAACCGTTTAGAAGACTGGGGCACAATTTGATGTCATATTACGTGTGCACAGGGAGCTGGATGTGGAGCAAGGCACTTTGCTTTTGAGACGGGCAGACACACACATTCCAGAGACTGAAGGATGTGGGGCGTGGCCAGCCAGGACTTCCTCATATAGCCTGGGGATAGTAGAACCTTCTGGAAGCAGGAAGGGCTATGGAGCCCCCTTTCCTGGGGTGCTACAGTTCTGCAGAAAGCACTGGGCTTGGGTAGGGACTAAGGCTCCAGAGGCCAGGGTGAGACCACTGCCCAGTGAGGTGGTGGGTATGCCCAGCACTGGTACCATCTGCCACATTTGGGTCTGGTGAAGGAACCTTTCATGGCACACTTGGTCACTAGTCCTCATGCTGGCCACAAGTCCGGTGATGCACCCCTACCCCTTGAACTTGGTTTCTGGCAATGTGACCCGAGTGGGTGGGGAGGGGATATGGTCACCAGCCTGAGAAGAACCAGAGTTTTGACCCTTCTCATCTGCTCTGCAGAAGTTTGGGTGGATTCTCACCAAGCCTGTCTCTGCCCTCGATCTGATCTGCGGTTCTGCAGGACTTAACTAGTCCTGGGCAGGACTTGGTCCATTCCGTCCCTGCTGTGTCCCCATAGTGGTGCACTGCTATTGTTCGGCGGCTGCCTGACCCAGGAGGAACTCTGAGGGACACTGAGGGGAAGGTCTCGGATGTCCCTGCAAGGACTGTGAGTTCGGAGACCAGCACAACCCAGTGACCCAAAGTAGAGAGAACTGGGCAGACCACCCTGTTCCCTGGGGATGTCTGACAGAGGGCTGCCCGATAACAAACACTAACCATTACCACCCTCACCCAGTCCAGCAGCAACTCTAGAAGGGGCAAGGAGCGCTATTAGGTAAACCAATGCAAACCAGTCTCCTACCAAGATCGTGTTCCACAATCACCAACAGGGGGCCCCCATCCCACCCATGAGCCTGGTGGCCAAGGTGTATGTCAGCTGCCCTGAGGCATTTGGTCTTGCACGGTGTAGGCACAGATTTTAATGCTTCCAGTGACGGAGGGGGCCAATAGTGAAGTGGTGGTCCTCCCCTGGGGTGTGCCTGGGAGCAAGCCTTGGCAGGGATAGGCTGGGGAAATGGAACACCTAGAGACCACCCCCAACTCAGCTGGAGAGCCCTCCCCCAGCCAGGTCCATGGTGGTGCAGGTATTCCCGGAAGACTCTTTCGAGGCCAGACCAAGAGCTAGGACTCTGAACTAGGGTGAGAGGCCCTCTGGGACCCGGTGGGTGGGCCAAGCCAATTCTTTCTACCCACTCGGGTCAGTGCACATGGGGTCCCCATCCTTTCTTCCACGTGTGCTCAGAATCACTCTGCTGCCTTAATTCCCCAAAGCTGTTAAGAGCCCCTTCCCTCATGGCCCATTCCTTCCCCTGCACGCTCCCCCCCCCCCCCAGCAGTCCATATCAACTCATCACACTGTTCAAGGCTAGCAGAAGGTTGTTGCCCACCTGCCAGGCGAGGGGCATCTCCTGGTGGCAGGGGAGAGGGGAGGCACAAGTACAAAAACACGAAGCTCCTGCCAAGTTCCTTTACTTTGGATACACAGGAGGCGGCTCACAGGCGCGCTGTGTTCTGTTATTCGGTCTTTTCCTGATTAAAAGCACCAGCTGAAGTTAAAAGCACAGGCTGCTAAAATCAAAATATTACAAACCCATTAAAAGACAGGATGCCAAACACACTCATTATTAAAACTCTTAGCAAAAGAGACAAGGGAACCAAGAAGCTAGCTGGTCACCAGCGGCTCTGTGTCCTCCACCGGCTAGGGCAGCAGGCTCAAAGCTTGAGCTGGGGGCACACAGCCCTCGAGCACGCGCCTGGCCACGAGGTGGCGCCAGAGGCCCAATGATGTCCTGAAATTCACTTTCCTTGGCCCTCCCCATTAGATAGGGACTCAGGGTAGTAGTAGTAAAAGCTTTTATATAATCGAAGTTGCTGCTGCAAAGAAAAGTTCAAAGATCACACGCACACACACATACACTCCCCATATACTGTTTGGCTTCCATGAAGTGTGGAACATTAAATATCGAGTACTGGGTTTTGACTGTAAACTTACTGTTTTATCCTTAATTTCACATATACACAGAGAACAAGGTGGTACTAAAAGCAAACACCAGGGCAGGTGTTAAGCTGTGAGGTTCTTACTCCAGCTGCTCTAACACAAACGCCCTACGAGGAGAAGAGAAAGGCTTAATAAATACGCAGACGAACATGATGCACAAGGTGATGGTGCAGGCGAGGCCGGGGAGTTGTGCCGGGTGGGCCTGGCCTGTGGGTGGAGGGGCCGGGGGCTCCCTCCGAGGCTCTGCTCCATTGGAACTGGGCAGAGGACAAGGCTTGGGGGGGGAGACAGGTGGGGGGAACTCCTGAGGCAACCCAGGCTAAGGCATGGTAAGGTGTCCGGACGGCAACACGGACTCGGCAGGTGCCCACGTCCTGGGCAGATGGATGCACTCAGAGCAGAGGCCTCGCAGCACAGGTGTGATGAGGACGCTCAGGTCAGTGAGGCAGCTGGTGGATCCGGCTGCCTGCCGTGTGTGCTGTGGTGCCAGGAACAGGAGGCTGTCTAGCCAGTCTAGTGCCTGCTGGGCACCTCCTGGATGGCCAGGCAGGGCATGCAGCAGGCCAGCTGCCTGAGGCTGGCAGAGCACCTGCGCCCATCTCTAGGAGACCCGGTGTCGGGGAGTAGGGGACCGCCCCCCCTCCCTAAGACTGGACCACAAAGGAACTGTGAGGAAAGGCCTCTCATTCTGGCTGGAGGCCCTGCTCCAGCTCCAGGTCCCTAGGCCACAGGCTCCCATGTGCGTGCACATGCACGCATCTATGCACACGTACTTCTGAATACGCAGCTGATAGTGTCCGGAAAAGGGAGTCCCTGGGCAGTGGCCTTGGCCCTTGGGTGGATGTGGAGAGGCGGGGACAAGCACTGCAGTGGCTGTACACTGGCCCCTCCGAGAGTGGTTACTTCTTTCCTCCAAATTTCCCTTATGAGCCAAAGACGTGGCTTTGGATGCTGCCTGCACAATCTGCAAGGGTCCAGAGCCGTCAAAGTGGAGGTCACCACCAGGCATGGAGGGCTATGCCCTACGGAGCCCTGCTTCCTATGGGCTTGACCCACTGCAGAGAAGGGCCATGAGTTTGGCATCCACTCCCAGGGTGGCTCCAGCCTGAGGCACCCACCACAGCTGTGTGTCCTTCCAGCAAGGTGCGCGTGTCCTGGCTGCTGCACAAAAGATGGCGCCCACACTACGGCAGAAAAGAGCAGCTCTGGATAGGCCTGTGGGGTCGCACCAGGGCCACCCCAGGACCAGTCTCACAGGAGGCTCGCCAGGCTGGTGTTGGGTCCGTTCTGGGCTTGGAACTGCACAGGGGGCGGGCCGTCTGTCCACTGTGGGAGAAAGAGGCACACAGGTTGATGCCCCGGAGGCCCTGCCCCCGTGCCCAGCCAGCCAGCCCCAGCCCTGCCTGGGTCCCCTACCGTGATGAGGTTGTGCTCGGGAAGGCTGCAGGCCTCAATGTGGTCCTGGAGTAGCTGCTGTGAGAAGTTCTGGTGCATTTGGGCGGCCTCGTGTGCATCCATCGCATTCCCACAGGCTTTGTTCAAGTCTACAGGTAGGCCCGCCACACAGAGACCTCGGCCGGTCACCTCCTGGGCACATCACCCCTCCGCCCGCAAGGGGGGCAGGTCACCCCACCCCTGGGTAGGTCATCTCCCTGGGCTCTGCCGGACAGCCCTGTGCTCTGAGGCAGCCAGCAGGGAGTCTGCCTCTAAGCTCACCTCTGAGCAGAGCTGACGACCACAGCTGCACAGACATGTCTGGGATCTTGCTGGCCAGCTGCATGGCAGGCACCACCATGTTGTTACTCTCCTGTCAACCCAGAGCAGTGAGAGGGCTGAGGGGACCAGGGGTGGCAGAGCCAGAGACCCGCCCATCTTCCTAAAGCTGGCAAACCCCGATTCCTCCTTCACAGCCTACCACCCCAAAGGGCCTTTCTTTATATAGCACTCCTTGGCCACTGGGAAGGACAAACCGCTCAATTCACTGCTCTTGCAACACCGCCTCCCAGCCCTCAAGGTGACTCGTGCCTCTGACACAGGTACAGGGCAAGTCAGCTTTGGGGCCCAATGACGAATTTGGTAAGACCACCAAGGTCCCAGGACAAGCAGGGCGGGGAAGAGGCAGAAAACTGAACTTCCAACCATCACCACCAGGCGGGGTGGGGTGGGGGGCACAAGTAGCCCCGGTGGGATGGGCCTTGCTCCCTCCAGGGCCCCCTCGTGTGCGGCAACTCTCAAGTGAGCACCGAAGACCCTGTGGGGATGCTGGGAGCTGGGAATCCATGCCTGGCTGGACTTCTCGGGGCTTACGTGACTTTGGCACAGCCCCTTACACAAGCCCTGGCCTGGGCAGATGAACCTACACTGTTCAGGCCTCCTAGTCAGCAACCATGAAACTCCAGTCCCTGCGCAGGCCCAGGAGTGGCTGGCCCTGATCGGAGTTGAAAGAATGCCCCCCCCCCACCCCCACCCCCCACCCCCGCGACACTGCTGCATGGTCTGGGAACATTCTTAAACCAGCTCTGCACCCCAGCTTCCAGGAAGCCCGGTCTCCTGAGGAGGCATGCTGTTATACGGAGGAGCAGGCCTGCATGGCGGCTGAGTGCACCCCCAGGATTGCATGGGGCCGACCAGCCCAAGACACAGGGGAGCGAAAGAACAGGTGCTATGCACACCCCAGTGGGGGCCTGGACACAGCAGAGCCCTGTGGTGGGGTGGGCAGGGACCGAGGGTGGGGTCTAGGTGAGGGTGAAACAGTGCAATCACTGAGATCAACCCATATGGACCCCGGCTGGGGGGCAGGGCAGGAAACTGAAACAAGACAGGTAGGCCTAGGTGGCCTGTTGAGCCAAAGGTGGGGCCAGGACAAGACGTACAGATGCCAGGCAGGGTTCCCACTGCTCTCACATGGGACCCTGCACCTTTCGCCCCAGGGGCCCACTGACCCTGTGGTTCCCCAGCACATAGAAGATGTGGCCCAGCAGCACCAGGGAGCAGGCCGTCAGCCGGTTCAGGTCCTCGGCGTTGGACATCTTCAGAGTTTCCCTTAAGAAGCGCCTGCACGGGATGGGGCGGATACCCAGCCTCCTTTAGGACCCCTCCCCCACAGCAGCCCCAAGGCTGGGGCAGCTTGGGGTGTGGGTAGACACAGGGCACTCACTTGGCCTCGTTGTAGCGCCCCTGGAAGAAGGAGAAGAGCCCACGAACATAGAAGGCAGCCGCCCGGAGGCAGTGGGAGCTGGGGGAGGGAACGACAGCGCATCAGAACCGGCTGAGAACTGGTGCGGGAGCGCAGCGCCATTGCCATCCAGGAGGTGCACCCTATGGCGTACCTGACGGGGAAGCTGTGGTCTGGGTTGATCCTCTCCAGCAGACTGTACAGCTGGGGGTTGGGGTGGGGGAGGGGAGGCAGCCAGTCAGTCAGAGGGCAGCGACTTGGAGCGTGGTGCATCCCACCCAAGACCCAACAGGTCCCCCAGGGTGTGGTGCCACATGGTGGGCCCGGAACAAGGAGGTGAGCATCTTAAAGGGCAGGAGGTACTGGGGTGCTAGCTAGGTGGATGGATGAGGAGCCCAAAGGCTGATGGGAGTGGCGGGACTGGTGCTTTGGGGGTCCTCTGGCTGTCCAGTGGGGGGCTGGGTAAAGAGGGTTTCAGGAGGGCTCGGTTTCTTCAACGTGCAGACAGGAAGGAGTCAGGCCCAGAGTGGGGTCTGCAGAGTGGGGTCTGCAGGGGGCGCTGGCAGGGAGGACCCCAGGGCTGGAGGGCAAGAGGGGCCAGGTTGTAGCTGGGTGGGTGTAAACCTCGCCCTTCCCTGGGGTGGGACACTGTGGCTGCCGTTCCCCTCCCGCTGTAGCCCAGGGAGCTCCCTGCCCCAGGTTGGAGGGCTGGGGCCTTGGCGCCTCCTGGAGTGCAGCAGCAGCCGAGGGCAGACAGGGCACTGTCTTCGCTGGGGCTCCTCTCCCTGGAGACTGCCCTCACGGCCAACGCTTGGGCCTTGCTGACAGCCTACTTGGGAGGAGGTTGAGAGGCAGCAAACACGAAGCATGTCACCTACTACCTCTTGGTGCCTGTTTCCTTCCCGGATGTACACACTCGCCAAGTTGGTAACAATGAAGGCCCACAGCTCCTGGTGGTTGGTGAGCTGGATGAAAAGGTGGCATCAGGCTGGCCGCCCCAAAGCTGACAAGCATACGAGCCCCCCAACAAGCTGCCCCAGCAGCCGAGAGCAGCGCTCATGCCCAGTCGGGAGACTCCTCCCTGGCAGCTCTGCCCCTCAGGCAGTTGGCGGGGGTGGAGGAGGAGGAGGGCGGCGTGATGACAGCGGCAGGAACAGTCAGTCCCCGATGCCTGGGAGCAAGAGCCATGAGCAGGGTGGGGTGCAAACCCTCCAGAGGTTAGAGAGCTGAGACCAGTCACAACTCTGCATGGGGTGGACACAGAGGGTCCTAATTTGGCCAAAGAAGGCTGGCTGGACTGTTAGCACCACAGGGCTTAAAGCACAACCTGGGCCAGCAGTTGGATGGTAGCACCTGGCTCTGTGAAGGGCCATGGGTGAAGGGCTCTGAGACACAGGACACTGGGTCTGACAAAGCACCCAGCAGAGAGGAACGGGGAGGCGCCAGCTGAGTTACTCTGAGGGAGGCAGTTCATGGTGGAGGGCTCCCCAGTGGAACCAAGTGTCCCTACGGCCCCCTGGCTGTATGACAGGTGTGGCTTGGGCAGGCCTGGTGGAGCCTCAGCTCCAGAACTTACCACAGGCCAGCTTTAGGCAGGTCCCCAAGGCCACTGAGAGGACCTGGGCCTGCAGCTGAGTAATTGTCACCCCTGAAGGTAGGTCTCCGGCCCAAGCAGGCAGCCCAGTTGGACCCTGGCCCATGTGTGCAATGGCCCTGGGGCGCTGGCTTGCCTGACTCTCTAGTATGTTCCCTAGCCCCACACTACCTGTGTGCCAGCGTCTTCCTCCCCACCGCCCCCACCGGAATGAAGTACTCTGAGCTGTCCTTGCTGCACACAGAATCAGCAGGGACCCTCTGCAGAAAGCTCTGAAGAAAGGCTCGTTCCTGCCACTCCAACTGCCACTTAATGGGATGACCCCGCATCAGCTCCTCACCCGCAGGGCCGTGGTGAACTGGGCCTCCGCGTTATCCATGCAATTCACCGAGACACAGTACAGGCCCTAGAAGGGACAAGGTGGGGGATCAAAGGTCAAAAGGCAGCCTGGGATGATGCAGCTCCCCCAGGTTCAGGGGGGTGGTGCACTCACCAGCAGCGTGTGCAGCTGCGCCGCGTGGTTGGAGAAGAGCCGTGGGGACTGCTGGCACAGCTGGCACACCTGGGAGATCTGGGGAGCATAGTGGGGGGGAGGGCAGTGTTAGGTGGGTCAGTCATCCCCATAGCCTTGGTCAGATTTTTCAGTTGATGCGCCCAGAGAGGGGTGTCCTGGTCAGCCCACCTCCACACCCCACGCCAGCCCACCTCTTGCAGAGCGGTGGCCTTGTGCCCAGTCACGAGCCGGCACATGATGATGTGCTCTAGCAGGATCACTTGGAAGGAGGACAGGATAGGGCTGCAGTCGAGCACTGAGGGAGAGGTGGGCAGGACTGAGGTTAAGGGGCAAGCACAGGGATGGCAGGTGGGCTTCCCACCAGGCTGGGAGACCCCTGCCCCATAGGTCTCCCTGCAGACCCTGCCCACATGTCTCTCCTGACCCAACCAACTCCACGGCAATACCCATCAAGGGAAACCAGCTTCGTTTCCAGGAAGCACATGGGGGCCCTGGAAGGCCCTCCTTCCCTCCCACCCAGTACTCAGGACACAGGGTCTGGGGCTGTGGGCAGCAGGGAGACCCTGGAAGGAACTCCAACTCCTCGGTATCCGGTGATGGAGCCCGACAGTGGCCTCCCTGGGAAGTTCAGTGCAGGGCTCTGAGCATTCCCCTCCGCTCCCTGGCTCCTGGGGAACGTGAGGGAGCTGGGTTGACAGGCGGCTCCACGGGAAGGAAGGAGTTCGAGTGCTGTGGAGTCTACCAGAGCCCACCTCCCATGGACTTGGCTCAGGCCTCGGTCGGCAGCAGTGAACAGTGAAAGTAACTGCTGTTGCCCTAGCGGGGCCCAGCGAAAGCATGCCCATGTCTCCTCTGGGCCACCCTCCCTGGCCGCCTCAGGCAGCCACAGCTGGGACAGTGCCAGTGCACCATGTGCCACTGACTCACTCTTGAGCTTCTCGAGCTGCATGAGAGCCTTGTCTGTGTACTTCTGCGCCTTCTCCAAGTAGCCAGCTTGCATGGAGTGCATCACGGTCACCTGCATTGAGAACAGGTGGCGTCACGGGGGCCTGTGCATCTGTGCCCATGGGCCGGGCGGCACTCACCAGGTAGACGAGCACGCACATGTGCTCCTTGGGCAGCCAGTGGAAGAGGTCAGCGGGGTTGCTGGGGAGGATCTCGTCGTCGTGCAGCGTGGAGATCGTCTGGATGCACTGCTGCAGCTGCTTCAGGCACGGCTTCACGCTCTTCACCTGAGCGGGGCGGGGAGGGGCCGGGCACACCGAGTCCACATGCGCTCCCTCCCAGTGCTTCTCAGGGGCCCAGCCTTTGGGTGGGGGCTCAGCAGGCCTCTCTGCCTTTCCTCCCAGGGCCCCCACTCCTCCATCCTGGAGCCCGGCCCAGGTTTGTCATAGCCCCACAGGGTCCACTCCAGCCTTGGCTGAGGGTGGTGAGGCGCAGGCCCACCCTCGAGGGCATGCTGCTCAGCCTTGAGTCACAGGAGCATGATGTGCCCAGCCCCGGGGTGGCCATGCAGGTGACTGCCACCGACAGGGGGCCCTGTGGAAGACAGGTACTGAGGATGCCCTGCTGATGAGCATGCTGGGGACAATGGGTCGGATGCGGGCACACTGACACAGCAGCCCCTGCCGTGGACAGAGATGTCAGCACACAGATGTGGAAAGGCAGTCGAGTGAGGGCAGCTGAGCCTGGTCCAGATGGTGACGCGTGCGCTGAACCGGACCACACCGGTGGCAAGTACAGAGGTCCAGCAGGGCGCAGAGTGTGCCAAGGGCCCGGTGTGGAGGGAAGCCGGTAGACAACAATGGCGAGGCACACGACAGCGAGAGCCCCACCGGGGGCAGCCCGCCCCATGCCCAAGGCAGCACGAACCTGCCCAGCATCCAGGTAGTGGGTCACCTGCAGCACCAAGAAAAAGACCCGCAGCGACTCCTTCTGGATGGGGTTCCCCTGCCAGTTCTCCACGATCTGCCCGCAGAGCGTCAGCAGTGGGTGGACCTCTTGCAGCTTCCGTTCCATCAGGAGCAGCTGGGGAACGCACACATTCTGAAGCGCACGCAGAGGGCACTGTGCTGCCACACAGGGCCCCGCCGCTGCATATCCCCACAGCACGAGGGGACTCGGAGAGGAGCTCCTATCCCAGGCTCCAGTGGGGGGTGGAGGAGCTCTGGAAGGTGCACCAGAAGACTCCAAGTTCCCTCTCCTGCACAACCAGCCCTGTACCCAGAACCTCAACTCTGAACCCGGCCGAACACAAGGATCTCACCCTCACCTCAGCGGCCCTGCCCACAGCTGGGCTCAACTTACCATGCCTTTACTGAGCAGGAACAACGCCCTGAAAGAGAGAGCTTGGGGTCAAGCCCGGGAGGACCACTGTGCCTCCCACCCCCAGCGCCCCACAGGAACCTCCCCTGCACAACAGCAGCCCCCACCATGCACTGAGGGGGCTGTCTCTCTGCCTGCCGAACTCCATAGCTCAGCCCTCCCCGCACTGCAGCCCCCACCCCTTTCCTGCTTGAGACTGTGCCTGGACCTCACTCAGGGCCTTCTGGGAACTAAGGGATGACATCTTTGAACCCTCCTTGCACTTTCCACACAGGCCACACTGCTTCCACTAGCACCGGCACCAAAGCCTGCTGAGGGTGGTTTGGGAATGTTAAGAGACACTAGAAACATGGCAGGTCTCGCTCATGGACCACAGCAGCCACGCCAGCCTTGGCTACACTGAGAGCCTACAGGCAGAAGGCCTCCCACAGTGTCTCACATTTCCTCTCGCTGAAATGCCATCCGTCTCTCTCCTAGGAGGAAGCTCACCGTGTATACTCAGAGCCCACCACTCGAGCGTACTCAGCCCCGACACCCAGCAAGTCACAGGCCGACACCAGGTCCTTCTCCAGAGTGTGCAGTTGCTGAAAGTAGAGGGTGCAGACCTTGGCTTCACCCAGAACACATGCCTCGAGCTAACTACTCAATGAGCCAGAAACGGAGTCCCTGGCGCCTCAGCAAACCGTCTCAGGGCCAGCTCTGTGCCACGGTAACCAAGCAGCCTTGCCAGCACTCACTGTTATGAACACTGCACTCGGCTGGCCTCCAGTGCACATCACTGCACCTGGCGACCTGCAGGCCAGCAGCGCACTCATGTAGGCAAGCTCCCCTCTGAGGCTGCAGGGGACAGGGGAACGGGGGGAGGGAGGGCACGAGTGGCTTCCCAGGGGACACTAGGCCCACAAAGAGAGTCCTCGGGATTGAGAGCAGAGCAGGCCACAACTGTTGCAGGGACTGGCGTTGGCTAGAACAGCCAGTAGTGTGGCCAGGCCGAGTGCATCCCCTTCAGCAGGCAGCTCAACTCCAGGCCCAGTGCCCACTGTGGTCAGGACACTGGTAAGTGGGAGAGGAGGTGTAGGCACAGACCCAAGGAAGTCTGGTGGTGGGACGTAGTCAGGGAACAGAACTGGGAACTTGTCAGCACTCAGGGAGTCAGCAAGGCAAAGAAAGCTCCAGTGGGGTCCTCGTAGCCCAGGGTCTACTCATTGGGGTGAAGGCAACTTTCAGGGCTATCGGTTTGGGGCAAGAGGGCCTAATGGTTTTCCAGTGGTTGTGAGGGCGAGGGTATAGAGCAGAGGGCAATGGACAAGTTGCCGGTACATGCCAGCCTCCCCTTGTTTTGTGCGCATGCCCTTCCTCCCTGGTTGCTGCTAGCTTTAGCCACAGCCCGGGTGGGCAGGGCCCTGGGAGTTTTAGTCTCACCCAGCTAGCCCCTTTTTGCAGCTCTTAAAACACACCACCCAGAAGATACCCAGGCCCCCACGGAGTGGGAGGGAGGGAGGGTCCATGAAGACCCCGGCATCCTGGCCTCCACACGCCCAGCCCTCATGTGCCCTTCCCCTGGCACTTACAGCCAGCTGGAAGAGCAGGCGACAGTGCCAGTATGGCGTCTGCTGTGAGATTTGGATGGCTTTCCGCAGGAGGGGCTTTGCTGCATCCACGGAATTCTGAAAGGAAAGACCAGTGTGGAGAGACAATGACACACAGGAGGCCCTTGTGGTGCCTGTACCTGGTGGCCACCACTGTGCACTCATCACCAGCCCTGGACTTTCTGTTGGCTTTGTCAGCACAGAGAGGTACGTTCCTGGACGTGCTTCCTGGGAGGGTCTGGTATCACTCTTAAAGTAACTTCTCAACCAGCTCTGATGATTTACGTTCAAGCTCCTGGAGTCAAATCAGGTGACAGTTCCCACTGTTCGACAACAGAGGCGCCAGTGGGCAATGTGGAGGAAAGGGCCCCTTCTGTCCAGGCCACCCCACGTGGTATGATTTGAAAGGAGACAGGGTGTTTTCAGCTACAGGTGAAACCAGGAAATAGGCTGAGGAGAATTCCAGGTCAGAGCTTTTGGGCTGTGCCCTTCAGCAGAGAACTGGGCCTGCTCTACCTGGGTCAGGGGGTGGGTCAATCTGCTCAGCTACTAAGACCCTCAGCACCCTCTTACCTCCTGGCAGTACAATTCAGAGAGGAGACTCGCAGCCTCAAACTTGACATCCTCAAACTGTGGGACCTGTGAGGTTGGTTAAGGAAAGGAGAGATGCACGGACACTGGCACAGAGGGCGTAGCTGGGGTTGGGCCCCCTTGAGGTGACCTGCACTGCCAGGGCCCTGGACCTAGGAGTCTGCACGTGCACTGGTGTCCCAGGCTTGTGAAAGCTGAAAACCCGGTCAGAAGCTGGGACCCAGCTGGTCTTGATGGGTAGGCGGGGGGCAAGCTAGGATGCGTCAGCTGACCCAGTGGGCAAGGCAACACATGCAGTATGGTGTCTGGTGACCCCAGGGGTACAACATGTTCTTGTTCTCAGATAAAAAAGGATACTTGCTGAGATATCAGCCACTGAAAGAGAAGGAAAAGAGGGTCAGTCGCGGGCCAGGCTGCTGGCCCCCCTTGGGCCAGACATAGTTCTGTTACCACCAGAGGCAGCCAGGCTCTCCATGGAGGTGAGGGCGGGGACTTTGCCGGTGAGGGTGGCTGGCGCTCCTCCCTCCCACTCAGGGGCTGAACTCGAAGCTATGGACCATTTTGGGGGGTGCCTTGGAGGTAACAGTGAGAGAAAAGAACCAGGACGAGTACCTGCTCCCTGACACTAGACACCCACTCCTTGCCTGTTGGGGTTACCACCTGAACAAGGGCCAGTAAAGACCGCTCCCACTCCGAGGCAGCTCCCGAGGAGAAGGCGCTGAGAGGTGGTTTGGCTAAGGCCCTCCTCAGACCATCAAGCCGGGAGAGTGAGAGGAGGGGAGGGAGGAGCGCCAGCCCACCAAGTCCTGCAGTGGAAGGAGCACCACAGCAGCAGAAGGGCAGCTGGTGGGGAGGGAGAGGGGTGGCTGAGGTCTGAGCACCTCCCGGAGCCCCCCATCTACCCCTCAGTGATCCCACTCCTTCTCAGGAATCAAACCAGAAAAGGTCCCATGAGTGCACCTGGCCAAGAGTGAGCACTCTGGCCCTGCACCTTGCCCACCCAACGCCTTCCGATCCCCCAGAGCGCCAAGCATTGCTGGAAGGTGCACATGGAGATTAAGGAGAAAACCACCCACACCCACACCTGAGGGGAGCACAGGGGAAGAGCTCCACAGGCCACACAACAGAGGTCTGGGTGACACCACAGAGGCTCAGGCTCCAGCAGGGAGGGTGGACCCAAGGGCTAGGAAAGTGAGCACAGGGCAAAAGACATACGAGAACAGGAGGAGGCAGGGTCAGTGTTCCCTGACAGCCCTTGGAGATGGGGAAGCCACCACCAGGGATCTTGAAAGCAGAGGCTGGCGGCTCTGGCTGGGCCAAGGCAGCGGGGCAGATGATGACTGATCTCTGGGGTCTTAACAAAGGACAGGGGAGCACTGAACCTGGAAAGTACACCACAGACCCAAAGACTGAATCGGAGGGAGGATAAAGAGGCCTAGCAGCATGACCAGGGGTTGCTGTTGATCTCACACAGTTAAGTTCCCGACTACTCATGAGGTTAGACTGCCCAAACACCCCAGAGAGGCCTCAAAAGCATGCCCTGGCAATCTGCTGCTGAAAGGGCACAGCCTTGGACACCCTATGGGATATACATGAGGCCCAGGAGTCCAGCTCAGCTCAACAGCCACGAATGGCAATAGTCGAACTTGGACAGGGCCAGCAGTGACATACATGACAGCTGTGGGGAGGTGGTAGAAAGGGAGATCCCAGAGAAGCAGAAAACTCCCAGGTGTTTTCCAAAGCCGAGGACATCCGAAGAGCAGGCTGGACTTCTCCTGCTTCCAGCAAAAGGAACTGAGTTCAAGAGCAAGAGGGTTAAGGGATAGCAGAAGCATCTAGGTCCAGATGCTGGCAGTCTCTGGGTCCCACTGCAAACTGGCATGAGCTGTGAGGGGGCTGGTCCAGTGGAAACACAGGTGGATCAGTGCCCCAGGAGCGAAAGGGCAGGAAGCAAGACGCGTGCACGACGGGAAGAAGAGATAAAGGGCGTGCCTGACAGGTCCTCGAGGCACTGAGAGAGCCTCCACCCAGGAGGTCTACGAGAAGCAGCACCCCGGGAGAACCCAACAGCCCCCGAGCCAGATTCTGACACCACCTCCAAGCGGCTGTCCAAACAGCAGGCAAGCGGAAAGGCTCTAAGGTAAGCGGCCGCTGTACACTGCCGGAGTGCAGAAATGTTGAGTTGACCCAGGAATGAGCAGTGGAGGTGGTGTCCTGGGGCGGGCACCTGCAGTCACGACTGAGATGAGAAGAAACAGAGCCCTTACTGAGGGGACACTCAGTAGCCAATTCTCTCCTTGAAAATAAAGGAACCTTGCCGAGTAGGGTGTAATAAGCTCCTTCTCGGTAGCTCATGACAGGCAAATGCAATAGATACACTTCAGCAGACAAAAGAAGAAAGGGGGGGGCACCCCAAAGTAAAACTATCATTACCAAGGAGGTCAGGGTCAGACTGTGAAAATAACAGGACACTGAACATAGCAACAGTTCAGAACCAATAAAATATTTTACTTTTAGTTCCAAAAAGTTACACTGCATTAGGTAAACCTGCTGCACAAGGCCCCTTTATAAAGTGTTGAAAGCAAAGATGTTACTTTGCGGACCATGGTGCGCCTGACCCAGGCCCATCAACTCATATGCACGGGAAAGTTGGACACTGAATAAGGAAGATGGAAGAAAACCGAAGCATCTGAACTATGGTGCTGGCAAAAACCACTGAAGGCACCACAGGCAGTCAAAAGCGCAAACAAATCTGTCCAGGAAGAAGTACAACCACAAGGCTCCTAATAAGCGGCCAGGATGGCGAGACTTGGTCTCACGTACGCAGGACACACTATCAAGAAAGAGCAGGCCTGCAGAAGACCATCGTGCTTGCTACGATGGAGAAGAGCAGACAGGAGGAAGGCCTTTGACAAGAGGGAATCACACAGTAGCTGCAACCATGGGTTCAAAGGTCAGAACAACTGTGAGGATGGCGCAGAACTAGGCGGTGTTTCAGGGTCACTAGGAGTCAAAACCGACTCAGTGGCACCTAATACTACCACCATCAAGTTAAGGAACTCTGGTGTCGCTGATGGGAAAGCGGACTGGTAACCACAAGGTTGGCTGTTCAAACCCACAGAAAGATGAGGGAGGCTGTCTGCTCCCAGAAAGGTTTGCAAAGCCGTGGAGACCTTATCAAGGGATTCTCGGAGTCCAAATGGACTCGATGGCCATGGATTTGGTATTGGTAAACCAGTTGGGTCAATACCACCCATTGATCATCCTGTTGTCCTGTGGTGTCCCGCATGCTATTGTGAGCTATGCCACTGGTATTGCACGTTTCAGCAGGATTACGCCTGGTGGGCGGGTTTTAGAGAAGCTTCTGTGACTTTTGAACATTAACTCCATGGAGTGCAACCAAACACTCTTCAGCAGGGAAGCCCAGCCCTCTCAGCCGGTGGCTGCAGCAACAAGCTGGAGCACACACCATGACAGTGACAGCGGCGCTTTCTTCTGTTGGCACTGGACCGATGGAGCGATTCAGAGCCCACTCGTCAGCAACTCACAGCAAGTGACAAGTCTGAGCACATCAGACCCCCATCTGAGCAGAGCAGAATGGTTCAGGAGGAAGCAGTTTCAAGACCCCCAAGAGCCAGTTGCCTTTAAGACTAACTATCTCTATGTGCTTGTTGTCTTGTGTCAGCTCCCTGAAAAACATTGGACTCTAAGTGGGATCAAAAGTACAATACATATTGGAAAGATTAAAACAAAAGCCTTGGAAAAAAACAAAAAAACACAAAAGCCTGGTGGGGCGATGAATTTGTTAGCAAGGCTGCAAATGGTTATATAGCTGGAACAATGCTAAATTGTACAGGTGAAACTAAGTCTTACTATGTATAAGCTCAACAACAAAGAAAAAAATCTTCCCTTAAAACAACACCACTTTGGCCAGTTCATCCGTAGAACTAGAACTCAGCACACCATTTCTGAAGGGTGGACATATTACGTTTCTTTGAGCCGCTCTGAGAAAGTATTTTTTAAAAGGAAGAAAACCCCACAGCTGCCTGGTTTGGAAGAAACAGACCGCTAACAAAGAATAAAGCCTGTAACGCACAGGTCATCAGGGATCACTGGAGAAGGAAAACTGCCTGAAGGGCAGTGTCACCTTGGCTGGAATCTAGACCAAGTCCCAGCTGGGGATGGATCAGAGTGGAAGAAGGGGACACTGGGTATACAACTGTGTGGAGCCGGGACTGTGTGGAGGGGCTTAGAGAACGCATGAGATTATGGGTACAGCAGAGCCAAGGACGGCACCTCAAGGGGACAGGGCTTACATTTCGGGTCCAAAAGCCAAGCAATAAATACAAAGGAAGCAATCGAGGCATGATGCATCTCTCAGACGAGGCTGAGGCATGTAACGGACCACTGTGACTGACCAGGGCTGGACCCAGGAGCAGGGGAACTTACTTTAACCAGTGCTTCCCAAAGTAGGCAACTCTGTCTACTGGAAAGAACTGGAATGAACTGGGGGTGGGGGTGAGGGGCACTACAAAAACAACTACCTACATTTCACCCTGAATTATGGGCTAGAGTGCTAGTTGCCAGGGGGCGCTGAGCTCACCCACCCTCCACCCCAAAAGGGGGGCGGTAGGCCCAATGAGTTTGGGAATACATGTTTTCACTCAGGAAAGTGGGCTGTTCTAAACCAGCACATTCAGAGAAGGACCGGCTGGTCCTGGCTTCCAGCCCCTACTCCTGGTCTCCTGACAGCCCCGGGAGTCTCAGACGAGACAGCTGCCATCACCCACCCTGCACCGTGCCACCAGCATCTGCAGCAGACGTCCTGAGTGGCCCTCACCCATTCAGGCCTCCCCCAAAGAGTAGATCCCTCACTTCTACCAAAAATAGGAAAACAGCTCCCATGTCAACTCCGCCCCCTCACCCTGGCCCAATTTTCTCAGGTTCTTCAATCACTACTACCTTAGGGATCATCAGATGGTGTAAGTGGTCACCAACTCTCTGGCGAGCTAAAAGGTTGGCAACTGAAACCCATCCCCATGCACTTCAGAAGAAAAGCCTGCTGATCTGCTTCCAAAAGATGAGACCCTGAAAACCCCACAGGGCATGACTCTACTCTGAAATACAGCGGCAACCCAGCCATGAGTCCCGGTGGACTTGGCGACATCTGACACACACTACCCTCCTGAGGAATTTGGCACAAAACCTGAAAACAGAGATCCTAGATTTGGGGCATGCACGGTGCAGCTTCGGGCGAATCACTTTACCTCTCTGGGCCCACATATTTCCTCATTCCTGAAACAAGGAAGTTGGGTCAGGTGGTGACTAAAGTCCTCTTCCAACCATCTCCGCTCCAAAGCAGTGGGTGAGTGGGTCCAGATTCACCATCCTCACTGCCATCGAGTCGATGCCAACTCAAAGCAACCCCAGGGGACAGGCTAGAACTGCTCCTGTGGGTTTCCCAGGCCCTGAGTCTCTACAGGACTAGAATGGCTCCTCTGGAGGTTTCCAACTGCTGACCCTGCCACTCGCAGCCCAACGGGCATCCTCGACACCCCATCAGTCGTGTCATGAAGTTCTGCCCTCCTCTGGGCAGCTCATAGCTGGGTCAATAATAGAAGCAAGGAGAGGCACAGGCCCGAGAGGAGCCCAGTGCTACTGTGGAGAGAACAATGCCACAGCCAGGAAGGGCAAGAACGGGCTGTCCCAAGGGACAGGTGCACTCCCCATGCTGCAAAGATGCTACCAGTCAGGATGAGGATGAACGCTGCGCCCGAAGAGGACAGACTGTGGCTGGAGAGAGGGAGGGAGAGAGGAAGCAGGAGCGGCGAGATTCCCCCCACCCTTGCTTTCGGGAGAGGGGGGGCAGCACAATGAGGGGGGGCACTCAGTCCCAGATCCCAACCCTGTAACTCCTCACCAGGACTCCAAAGGTCCCTGAGGGGCACCAACAGTTTGCCCTCAAGTACTAACCTACAGGTTGGTGGTTCGGACCCACCCACCCGGCAGCCCCAGGGAGGATGACAGCCAAAAAAACCCCCGCACGGGCCAACTCTCCTGTCACCCACTGGGTCCCCACTAGTCATCATGGCCACAGTGGCACGGCTTTTGCTGTTAGGAGTGTTACAGGGCTGCAAACTGTCAACTCGTGGACTCCTCCTTCATCTCTGACACCTAGCACCACTGACAGGGCACAGAATCCCCAGGCCATCGAGAGGAGCCAGACTTCCGCATGCAGGAGGGCACGCCCTCCTGGGTCCAGACCTCAGATTCCCAGGAGCCTGCTGGACTGTCCGTCTTGGACCCAAGTCACTTCAGAGGGTCCGAGATCGTGTCCAGGCTGACGCTCCCCAGCGGAGTCCCCAGGGCAGGAGTCCCGGGAGTGCAGCAGTCCGACCATCGAGGGCATGGGGGTGGGCTCTCTAACTGAAGGACCGCGTCTATGCTGACAGGCGTCAACCTCAGAGCAGTCTAAAAAGTTAATGGCTTGCGACCACCGACCGAGGAGCTGTCGGGGAATAAGGCCCTCATCAGAAACGGGAAACACGGGAGGAGGGGTGTCCTGGAGGTCCTCCGGCACCCCAGGAGGCTGGCGGTCTTGGGGTTCTGCGAATGGGAGTCCCAGGTTGGTGCGGGAGGTTGCACCTCCGGATCCGGAGTAGCGGCCCGGAGTCTCCTCGCCCGCCCGGGGGGCGGCCTACCAACCCGACCCCCCTGCCCTGCCCTCGCGGGCCGGCCCGCGCTCACCGCCTTCTCCAGGTGGCTGCGCGCCTGTTCGCTGTTCTTGGTGTGGTGGTAAAGCACGGAGCCGAGCTGGAGATGCGTGCGGGCCTCGATGCGCTGCGGAGGCTTGAAGGGGAACACAGCCTGCAGGCAGTGTACACACAGGCGAATCTTGGGCGGACTGGAGGTACGAAAGTGCTCTGCGAAGCCCAGGAGCGCCAGATACCACGATTCGGCCGCCTCGGCCTGCGCCGCCTGGGCCGCCGCCGCCTGGGCCGCCGCCGCCGCCTGAGCCGCCATTTTGGCCTCCACAACAACAAGCGGCCGCCACAGGGAGGCGGAAGCAGGCCAGGGGGCGGGGCCAGACAGGCCTGAGGATCTCGCGATAGCTGCCGCACCGAGCATCTTGGGATATGTAGTTTCTATTTAGTACGGACGCGGCTCTGGAAAGATTTGAGAGAAGGCAACGCTCTTGAGTCAGCGGGATTCTGACTGAAGATCATTAGTAAAGAGCTATTTACGGTCCTCGAAGGAAATTTCTAGACGTCCTCGGAGTGGCGGGGCGGGGCCGGCTGATGCGGACTACATTTCCCATCACGCCAAGCGAGGTATAACAACCCCCTCCAGACGTCGCCGGAGCATTCTGGGATTGGATGAATCTCAAGATGGACAACCGGGATGTTGCAGGTAACATCTCCCGTCTCTCCTTAGGCGCCAGCCTGGGTCCTCGGGGCAAAGCACAGTCGTCTTGTCCTCCCGTAGAGCCTGCGCTGTTCCGCTGCTGCTCCCTTAACCCAGCCTGTGGGTGGTGGCTGCTGTGTCTCCCGCGTGTCCCGAGACCCCAGACCCAGGTCGCAGACTGCTTCTGCTTATTTTGCGGAGGACCCCCACCGCTTTCGGTGAAAGCCGCCACCCCAGCCCTCCCTGTGCTCTGGTTACAGAATAACGCCCTCCAGGCTGTTTTAAGCTCTGCTCCCCGGAGTAGCGGCAACCTTGGGCTGTCCTGCCTCCCCCTTCAGCCC